AGGCCCTTTCCCGAATGTTGCTGCGTATTCCAGATTTTACCCTGCGTTGCTCACTTAAAAGGGTAGTCAACTTGGAATAGCCACTTCCTTGTCTATTTTTTACTCTCCAGTGGCTCACCAAGGGGTGAGTCAACTTGGAATGAGCACTTCCTTCTCTAAATTTTACCCCTGCATTGCCCACAAAGGGTGAGTCAAGTTGAAATGGCAACATCCTTCTCTAAATTTTACCCTTGGGTGGCTCACCAAAGGGTGAGTCAACTTGGAAGGGCAACATCCTTCTCTAAATTTTGTCCCCTGCATGGCCCACAAAAGGGTGAGTCAAGTTGAAATGGCAACATCCTTCTCTAAATTTTACCCCTGCATGGCCCACAAAAGGGTGAGTCAACTTGGAATGGCCACTTCCCTCTCTAAATTTTACCCTCCAGTGGCTCACCAAAGGGTGAGTCAACTTGGAATGAGCACTTCCTTCTCTAAAATTTACCCCTGCGTTGCCCACAAAGGGTGAGTCAAGTTGAAATGGCAACATCCTTCTCTAAACTTTACCCTCGGGTGGCTCACCAAAGGGTGCGTCAACTTGGAAGGGCAACATCCTTCTCTAAATTTTTTCCCCTGCATGGCCCACAAAAGGGTGAGTCAAGTTGAAATGGCAACATCCTTCTCTAATTTTGAGCCTCGGGTGGCTCACTAAAGGGCGAGTCAACTTGGAAGGGCCACATCCTTCTCTAAATTTTGCCCCTGCATGGCCCACAAAAGGGTGAGTCAAGTTGAAATGGCAACATCCTTCTCTAAATTTTAGCCCTGCATGGCCCACAAAAGGGTGAGTCAACTTGGCCTGGCCGCTTCCCTCTCTAAATTTCACCCCTGCATTGGCCACAAAAGGGTGAATCAAGTTGGAGTGACCACTTCCTTCTCAAAATTTTACCCTGTGCACAAAAGGGTGAGTCAAGTTGAAATGGCAACATCCTTCTCCAAATTTTAGCCTCGGGTGGCGCAACAAAGGGTGAGTCAACTTGCAGCTTTCCTGGCCACTGCAGGCAGCACAGGTCCGTAAGCTGGACATCCAAAGGCCTTGACATCCAGACAGATCTGGAGTGTAGAGGTGTAGAGTCTAGAGACCCACAAAATCTTGCAGAGGTTCAGATCCAGAGACCAGGGGAACAGAGGACCAAAGGACCAGGGGTCTTACGGCCGCCTCACCTCTTCAAAATTTTACTGCCGTGCTAGAATGGAATGGCTTTCTGCGCTCTAAACGTTACTACTGTACATTCGGGTGGCTCACAGAAGGGCGGCGCCGCATATTTTATCAGCACTTGTGCCTCATCTGCGCACACACTTGTTGACTCAGCGTGCGCACACACCATCGGGGGGAATCAAGTGCGCACACAGGCCCTTTCCCGAATGAATGTTGCTGCGTATTCCAAATTTCACCCCTGCATTGCTCACTTAAAAGGGTAGTCAACTTGGAATGGCCACTTCCTTCTCTTTTTTTCCCTCCAGTGGCTCAACAAGGGGTGAGTCAACTTGGAATGAGCACTTCCTTCTCTAAATTTTACCCCTGCATTGCCCACAAAGGGTGAGTCAAGTTGAAATGGCAACATCCTTCTCTAAATTTTACCCTTGGGTGGCTCACCAAAGGGTGAGTCAACTTGGAAGGGCAACATCCTTCTCTAAATTTTGTCTCCTGCATGGCCCACAAAAGGGTGAGTCAAGTTGAAATGGTAACATCCTTCTCTAAATTTTACCCCTGCATGGCCCACAAAAGGGTGAGTCAACTTGGCGTGGCCACTTCCCTCTCTAAATTTTACGCTCCAGTGGCTCACCAAAGGGTGAGTCAACTTGGAATGACCACTTCCTTTTCTAAACTTTACCCTGCCCACAAAAGGGTGAGTCAAGTTGAAATGGCAACTTCTTTTCACAATTTTACCCTCGGGTGGCTCACCAAAGGGTGAGTCAACTTGGAAGGGCAACATCCTTCTCTAAATTTTACCACCGAATGGCCCACAAAAGGGTGAGTCAAGTTGAAATGGCAACATCCTTCTCTAAAGTTTACCCCTGCGTGGCCCACAAAAGGGTGGGTCAACTCGGCATGGCCGCTTCCCTCTCTAAATTTTACCTCTTCATTGGCCACAAAAGGATGAGTCAAGTTGGAGTGACCACTTCCTTCTCAAAATTTTACCCTGTGCGCAAAAGGGTGAGTCAAGTTGAAATGGCAACATCCTTCTCCAAATTTTACCCTCGGGTGGCGCAACAAAGGGTGAGTCAACTTGCAGCTTTCCTGGCCACTGCAGGCAGCACAGGTCCGTAAGCTGGCTCGCTGAGTAGCTGGCCAAATGGGGGATAGAACAGGAGTTCAAAAGTGGTCCTTGTGGTTGTGTGTGTTTTTCGGGAGATGCATCAAAAAATGCATTAACATAGAATTCATGACAACACTTGCCATTGCAGGCAGCACAGCTCCGCAAGCTGGCCACCTACAAAAGCCATCGAAAACCAAAGGCAAAAGCCACCAAAACCCAAGAGCCACCGAAAGCGAACCTTCCTTCCTGCCCTGCTGCCTTTCTTCCTTCCATCCATCCTTCCTTGCTTCCTTGCTTCCTTCCTTCCTTGCTTCCTTCCTTCCTTCCTTCCGTTTGCTTCCTTCCTTCCTTCCTTCCGTCCGCTTCCTTCCTTCCTTCCGTCCGCTTCCTTCCTTCCTTCCTTCCTTCCTTCCGTCCGCTTCCTTCCGTCCGCTTCCTTCCTTCCTTCCTTCCTTCCTTCCTTCCTTCCTTCCTTGTCTTCCTTGCCTTCCTTGCCTTCTTGCCGTTCTTTGTTTCTTTTCTTTATTTTTTTATTGATGCATTTTTGTTTTTTCTTGATGCATTTATATGTTTTTATTGATGCATTTATATTTCTTTTTTGATGCGTCTCCCCTCCAGCTGAGTCATGTCTCCCGACCACCCGGCTCTCTTGAGAGGTTAACACACACACACACAGAGACCTACGCACTGCCTCAACTTACTCGGATACACACACAGACAGAGACTCATACACACACAGACATAGATACACACACAGAGACCCACACACTACCTCAACTCACTCGACTTAAACACTTCACACTGATACACTTAACAGATAACTCACACTCTGACTTCCTACGTGATGAAAAATGCTTTCGGGCCACTCGTCGTCTAGTTCACCTTTCCCAACTTTTCAACACACGCAGGCTAAAGGTCACCAAGACCATGAAAAATGTTGTTTCTCTCATTTGTTTTGTGGTTTGCTCTTTCTGCCCGAAAGCAAAAAGAGCATGTCCGGATATCTTGTATCCCTACATGCGCAAAAGCGTCAAGATCATGAAGCAAAGCTCTTGCATGCAGCGAGCATCTTTTTCAAACAAGAGTCAAAAAAGCTACATCATAATCGTGACTGGCACGTCGTCACCACAACCCTAAACCTGTCAAGTATCGGCTAGGCATGTGACATGTATGAATATACATGGTACCCCTCCAAAACTCACCTTGGATTGCAAAGACCAAGAAACCTTCAAGGTAAGACGCGGCAACGGTGTCGCACCGCTTCATGCGATGATCACTTGAACCAAAGTAATTACAAAGATTAGACATCAAATGTGAACCTAACAGAAAGGAAGGTAATGAAGTCATGAATTCCCCATAAACTTCAAGTTTAAAGACTAAATTACGATTTCCATGTGTAAAAGAACGCATATTACTCATGGGTTTTTGTTCTACCCGTCGTCCATTAGTTCTTTTTGTTCCCAAAAGCAAAGCAACGAAAACTGCAGCTAAAGGGAATTGTGGGTTGCAGCCACATCAAAGATGCTTGTTGGTTTTCCTGTTTCTTCTTCGCTTTTCTTTCTTTCGTTCCTCCAAAAACCGAGAAGAAAACAACTCGTCTTCTTAGTTTTCTTAGTTGCGCGCTTTTGGGCAATTCAAGATTGCACAGTCTATCTCGAAATTTGTCTTGCCACAGAACTTGTCACTTGTCCTCCACACCACTAGGTTCTTTGGGCTGTGAACGGCCCAGGCTCGCAGCTGGAAGTCCTTCGTTGCAACCACAACCTCGATACGAGAGACATACAATGACAGCATACGATGGGTCCAAACTGCTCTTACTTGTTTATCCATGACTAGAACAAATGCTTTGCGTTTGGACTACATTTCTTGGATATGGAAAGGGGCTCCAGAAATGCTGGAGTCCATTGACGGTCTGGACTCATTTTCAGGATCAGCATCTAGTTCAATAGAAAGAAGCAGCCGCCCGAAACATGCAACTAGACTTCGAGGCTCAATTCTGTCCTCGCTTTGCAAGCTCTCTGCAGACTGCCTCAGGCATAGTTTCTGCTCATGCTCGCCATTGTAAACCCAAACGAACGCATACTAAATCCAATATATGTGTCATGTGTCAGCGAGACTCGCGATTTCGGAGATTGGCAGCTCAGCAATCCAAATATCAAACTGGGCAACGCGATGTGGGAATATGTATTGACACCATGCATTGTAAAGTAATGCAATGTAAGTCATGTGATGCATCCATGTCTACGTGCATATGCATCAGCATGGTCAGCATGAAAGCCAGGAGTTGGTACTGCACCCACAAAGCCGCGGCCACCGAAGACCAAGGTTCGACTCATGGCGCAGCTTGGCGTAGCTTTGCAGAGATTTGTTGCGTGTTGCTTTGCATGGCTTTGCGCGTTTGGTGTAAACCCAGCCAGACTGGAGTAGACATGGGAAGTCAGCTTGTCAAGGATCAAGGCAGTGCTTGCTGCAGTATGTTTGATGTCTGCAAGCTGACCTGTTGCATGAGTGTTTCTCCGCACTCTCAAACTATCTTTACTGCCTTTCTGAACCACTGCACTAGCTTGAGATGAAAAACCTTGGTACAGCTCTAGCCTTGAATCATGAAAACACTCTGAATCTGATCCTCAGCAAACACACAAGATGCAAACTTGACGCAAGGAAAAGCGCTGAGTGAAGACTTTGCCTAGGGCCTAGGGATCAAACTTGCTGTGATTGTGTGGGACCGGCTCAGCAACGACCTCCTGTCAGTGAGTACAAGTTCGTTCGAGCAAAGAGCCGAGTGAACCATGATTGATGTTGTTCTGGTTTCTCGAAGAAATCTGATGTCGAGGCCGAGGCCCCATATTTCACTCAATGTCAATCACAATCCAGACCTCTGCAGGCACTGCATATAGTGGTGACGCTGCCCGACAGCGAGCCATGTTGGCCTCATGAAAAGTGATTGCGAGTTCAAATACCCTAACTCTGGTAGTTTGACGTCCTCTCTGTCAACTTGCAAAAGGGCCCTTTGCTATCGTTTCCGAACTTTATGGCACACCGGCTTGCTTGCGGCGGATGCCTTTCATGCTGAGGACAATGCAATCAAACGGCAGGCGACCATCGAATACATGACCTCACAGAATGCCAAACACACATGACGCAGCGTAGACATGTGATTTGTTCCAAGAAAAACAATGCAGCGTCAAAGGACCTATACTTTCTCATGCATCCATCGATCAAGACTAGCAGCTCAATAATGACACTTCTTTTCCCACTTGTAAGTTGCGGGGTGAGCCCTTCCCTTTGTATGACTTCCAAGGAATCTTGCAACAATGACTGGCTGAATGAATGATTGAATGAATGAAAGACAGAAGGACGGACGGACCGAACGAAAGAACGAACGAACGACCGAATGAATAAATTCTTGAATGGATCAAGCTGAGCTGAATTAAGCAAATATACAGTAACTGAATTCAATTGAACCGACTAAATTGCAGGCATGCAGGCATGCAGGCATGCAGGAAGGAAGGAAGGAAGGACGGAAGGACGGAAGGAAGGACGGAAGGAAGGAATGAAGGAACAATAAACGAACGAACAAAGCAAGAAACGAACCAACGAACAAAGAAACAAATGAGTGACTAAGCAAGTCTCATCAACAAGCGTCAAATGCGTCAAGGTTTAGGCTCAAGCAGCAAGCGCAATAGTCTCAAGGCTCTTCAAGGCAACGCTGTCCTGAAAATGCTCCATTTCGCTCCGTAAGATAAGAAAGCTGCCGTAAAGCTGTCAAAGCTCTTCAAGCATCATCTTTTCGCTGTCAAATTATTTGCTGGGACCCTCGCAGAGATCCGACGGCATGGCAAGGGGAGGTGGGGCTGCACCGCTGCAGCAAGCAAAAGCAGCAATGCCTACAGCGTACTTTTAAAGATTATTTTTAATCTAGGGACCAATTGAATAGTGCGAGCGCTTCTTCAAGAAAGCCCCCCGCCGCCCTGGGGGAGCTTCCTTGAAGAAGCATGAGCTATCCCGCATCCAGTAGCTAGTACTGAATTAAGTAAGGGTGAGAGCAACTCGGGCGTCAAAAAAATAACTTCAAGAAGGACCAAGGTCTCACGACCTTGCCTGCGCCTGGACGGCAAACCTGCAAATGAGGCTCAGCAGCCTGGACATTTCCACCAGCACCAGCCCAGACTGCCTTCGCATCTCACACTGCGCTGGCCAAATCTTGACCGGGGACTCTCTTTGGAACTATCTAGACGCTGGTCCACTCCAACTGGGCGAGGCGTGGAGTCTCCATCGAACGGCTGAGTACTTGTGCTTCCAAATTGGGTTCTCACCAAACTAAAGTAAAGGCCAATCAAGTGAAATGTTCAACGACCTGTCGTTGGATGATGAACGAGTTCTCTTTACGCATAAGCATCAGTGGCCTGTCTTTTCAGTGTGGCATTAGTATCTGCTTCTTCACTAACTCTGGCCGGACTTGCACTGGCCTTGGCAGCCATGGCGAGCTCGACACAACCAGCAGGGTTGATGCCTCAGGCTTGATGGTTCACTTCAATTCTCAATGTCTTGAAATCGTGCACGAGTGTGGAACCAGAAGAACCAGATACCAAGAGGGACTCCACAGGATAGATGTTGATGTCTTGATCGATGGCCCGGGGTGATCTGTTTCTGTTGATCGGCCATCTGTTCCAGGTGACCTGCGGTGAGGTCGTTGGTGGCAAATTTGAGGTCGGTGAGACCGTTTCAAAATTGTCCATGTGTGACTGTGGCTTCAGTGATCTATCATTATTCGTAATCTGTTCTGCTTGCGAGTGATCTCTGCAGGCTTGTGGTGATCAGTGGTACGGTGCCGCGACTGGACTCGAGAGTCAAGTTTGATGATGCAACGAGACATGGTACACAGCCGGCTTCAGTCCGCAAATTTTAGAGAAGCCAGCAAGCAAGATGTCACAAGCAGTTGCACCCACTAAGTCAAGACGTAGGACCTCTCCCACCAGAAGTATCTTTTGCAAAGGTGCTATGCATGGTGCTGCTGCCCATCCGATTGTAGGGGGCTGCAGCAACACCATCATCCTGGCGCCAGAAGCTCTGAGGACTGGAACCCGTGGACACGGTGGCCTTGTTGCTAACTGCTAGTTGCATCTAGTCGGCCAACCAGCCGCTAGTCTGCTGCTAGGTTGGAGCCCATCGCTCTAAGGTTGGAGGCTATCGCTATTAGTCTGCTGCTAGTGCTAGTTGTCGTTTCCGGTCTGGACAACCATCTACATCATCCAGACTGGCAGGCAACACGACAGTGATACCCTACTGTCTCTGCCATCATAGATGCCAACAATAGGGCCTGCCGAGCTGCGCATGTTCTCACGCAACATGTCTTTCTCTGCTTCCAAAACAGCTAGACAAAAAAGTCATACTTGCTTTTGCACGCTTGTGCTTCAAATGCTTCGTACTGGCAATCCCAACGTTGCACAACTGTCATTGCACAGTAAAGGCCTCTCTCAGAAGCCGTCTAGGACTTGGCAAAGGCCAGGGTTCTGCTGTAGGAAGCCTTGCCACCACAAAACACAGGCCAGGACCAGGATTCTGTGAGGTCTGGCCTTTGCCAAGCCATGTAATTGTAGCACCTCTCCCACCACCTGGCTCATTGATGCTTGTCTCACTTGCTGTACGATGTTTTGGTGGGCACATGTTGTGGGCGATTCATGTGTTTACTCAGCAGCTGGCTCCTCATCGTGGCTAAGCTGATACAGGCCGCGACAGGTGAGAGCAAAGGGCCATGCCTGATACGATATGGAAGTGTATCAGTCTATCTAAGTGAAATCTAGATAGAAGCGTTCGGTTGTTCATTCTGAGACCGATCTGGAGCACGGTAGCTTGGCGATTTTAATGCACTTAGGTTGCAAAACATCGCTCTTAGGTTGGAGGGTCATCGCTCTTAGGTAGTTGGCCATTCTATTTGGGTTCACTTGAAGTCTTTGGCCTCAGCAGGTTCGCTGGCGAGGAAATGCAGGACAGCGCGCAGCAGGTCGTCCAGAAGAACCAAACCTTGTGAAACATTATTTCTGGTATCTCAAGCTGCGAAAATTATATAAGTCTCAAGAGAAATGATATTGGTGGTCACAAGGACTCTGCAAATCTGAATCGCCGCTCCTTTTTCAGGCTGTCTGAGCAAGAAAATCCTAGGCGAAAAAAATGTTTGCTCATCGAAGCCCCTTAAAGAAAGCCTCAATTGGATTTGGAGGCGGAGTCGTTGTTGTAGTCGTCGTTGTGGGATTGAAGAGATCAATGATGAATTGGAATGGGTTCCCACCACCACTGCCTGCGCTCCCTTGGCTAACTGGTGAAGGTGCAGGGGCAGGTACAGGCGCAGGTGCCGGTGCCGGAACAGGAAAGTCAACGCCCACATCCCGGTATCCATTGGGAGTGGTCATCATCTCCCAAGAAGCCTTCTTCACTGCAGCCTTTGACCTTCTCCACTCTTCATATTCAGGAGTGCCACGATCTGCCGCAGTCATCTTGCGCCCATTCATAATGGTAGCAGTTCGCAACTTTTGTTGCGCTGGCTCTCCCACAAAAGCCTCCTCTTCCGGCAAATTGCTGCCCAGGAGAGTTATAGCCAAGACAGTCATGGCCAAACCAACGCACAAGCACGGAAAGAGGGGAAGTCTGCGGCCCATCTTTCAAAGTGTGATGCAAGCTGCCAAGCAAAACTCAGCCTGCTTTCCCCCGGCTTGTGCCAGAACTGAAAACTCATTACAAGAAACAAATGTGCAAACTTCACTCTCCCACATCTATTTAGATAGATAGATAGATAGATAGATATACACCAATGTCTTGATCATGCAGTCATGTGCACTATCGTCTTGAAATGGACAAGCTGTTCTGAATTGAACAAACCAAAACAAATGGGTGGGTTCAACAACTCTTACTGAGGTGGCCAGCCCAAGGCTGCGTGCTGCCCCAATTGCACGTCGCCGCCATCCTTTGGCAACGAACAAAGTGGCAACGCAGGGGGCATATGGGGCTATGAAACGAATAAATGTATCTAATACATATTACGTATCTAAGCTGATGAAAACAATGTGCTTAAACGGTTCTAAAGCATTGACAAACAGTGCAAGCTTTGGAATGAACTCGAGCCGCCAGCAAGCCTTTAGTGCAGCGCGGCACCAACGGTCCCCCACTGGCCGTGGCCCGTTCCTTGCAGGAAGCTACTCAAAGATGAAGATCTATTATATAAATTCCTCAAATAGAACCTAAACACTGCTGTGATAAAGGCACGGCACAATGAAAGAGCCCCTCACCAGAAGAGCATTGCCAGCATAAACACTTTCAGGTCTGCAAAGCCTGCAAAAAACAGTTCAACTGTCTCTCCAAGTTTTTGTTTGCTGTATGCAAGAAATAACATGGTTTTAAACACAATGCATGGTGGTGACGCCTTTCGTCGAGTGTGGTTGCTTGCTATATCGCTTGCACTTCGTGGCCATCCAAGATTTTACACAGAGCCAGCCTGCTACGCTGCCACAGCTGAACGCCAAGGAGGTTGCTAACCTGGCATCTGCCGCTTTGCAGTTTACATATTCGGGTTGCGCAAGTACTGAATCGAACGGGAACAGTGCCAGGCAAACAGTGCAACACCAAGCAGCCCGGCTTGAGCCTTCAAAGGAGGCGTGGCAAACGGAGACTGTAAGGTATTGAAAGCAAAATGAAGTTCATTTCCAATTAGCAGAAACAGAAATGACCCTGCATTCCCTTTACTTGGCGGAGTCAGCCAGCCAACCACCTATCAAAGTATCCAGCGGGATCAACCAGGCTGCCACCTATCAAAGTATCCGGCGGAGTCAGCCAGCCAGCAAAGTACCCGGCGGAGTCAGCCAGGCAGTGAGCCAGCAAAGTATCCGACGCTGGGGAATGTATGTCATTATATATCCACAAAGAGTATCGGGCGGAATCACCCAGCCAGCCACCTATCAGAGTATTCGGCGGAATCAGCCACCAAAGTATCCGGCGGGTGGCATATTCAGCCACCAAAGGTATCCGGCGGAATCAGCCACACAACTAAAAGTATTCGGCGGCATCAGCCAGCCACCTATCACAGTACCCGGCGCAATCAACCAGCCAGCACAGTCTCCGGCAGCTGGTGGAACCCCAACTAAAAGGTATCCACGGCCTGCTACCCACCAGTATCCGGGCGCTGGTGGAATCAGCCACCAAAGTATCCACGGTTGGGGGGTATGGGCCATCATCTGCAATCCAGTAAAGGCCACGGTAGATGAAGCTGTCGTACAAACGCTCACTTTTGCGTAAGAAGCTGGCTGCGTCATCTTGCGCACTCTTTGAACTGGTGCCACAGCGGATCTAGGCGGAGACTTGTGATATGGACAACTGCACCCGTCGCGCGGTTCCAGAGCTCAGGGCCCTCCACCAAATGCCGTATTCAAACGCCTCTCGCCCACACTTCCTTCATTTACTAACCGCGCTTTCCACAAGCTTTTTGCGCCAAGTCTTTGATCTGTTCGGCCGCTGCGCGAAGGCATACATTGGCCATGGCAGTTTTTCTGCTATGAGTTCCTCCTCTGCATCCTCTGCGTTCTGCCTATCCTTCTTCAACGGCTGGTGGTATTCTAGCTCCTTGAACTCTTGCAACAAGGCTGAAATGGCTGAATACTGTGTCTTGACGGGAAGCCTTCTTCTCTGAGAGCTGCTTGACGGCGCCAACGATGGCTCCTTGGCAGAAGCAATGGGGGTCCACGTTGACGACACCGCCGTTGGTAAGCTGTTCACCGGGTCCATGGCAAAGCTGGGGGAACGATTTCCGTGGTGCATGGCATACGCAATCTGAGCGCTGACTAAGTTGCCAACAATATTCGACCAACAAACGCACCAAAGAACACGCGCTCCCATGAATCACTAGCTGAAAGCCAAACCGAAGTGTCACGAGCTGTGAATGGCGACAACAAGCTTTTGCCAAGCCAAAGATAGAAGATTTCCGGGTGGCCAACCAAGCCATCAGACGCGCCGAGTCAACGCAGTCAAGCTAGTATCACGTTCACGCCCATCGATCCAAAGAACCTGACTCCTGACTGTCGTACGTCACAGCGACGCAACACCAACATTTGCAAACGGAGGTCATCATACCCAGGCTGGATATATATTTGGGGCTTGCTGAAAAACTGCAATGCAAGAAGCTGAAGAATCCATCTGTTGTCTGGTGGCTTGGCGTAGTTTCAAACTGCACTGAGCTGCGAGAGTGAGGTGGCTGGTGCGGCTACAGGATCTCTAGAATGGGTACGAGTACTCCAGTAGTTGGCAGAGGTTCTTGATGGCCCGCTGACCTTTCGATCTTGCAGAGACGCGCTCAAAACACGAAGACCAATCGTGGTAACGGACTGCAGGAGTCTACTCGATCATTTTGCGCTCTCCATCATCTCCCACATCGATCGAAGATCGCGCACCAGCATTGATGTAGTCATAATCAGAGGGAGTTACAGTGCCATGTTAGCATATGCCCCCTTGGGCTCCCACCACATACCCCATTTCCATCTGGCATCACGTCCATGGATATGTGGGGTCGCACCGGGCGCACCGTGATTGACTATGACAAGCTGGCAAAAAGGGACATCAGCTATGAAGAGCTTGCCACAGCCTCCGACCCAGAGCTGCTCAACTACAGTCGTTGGCTGATCACTTAGAAGAGCCGTGACAACTTCCGCTTCCAGTCTCAACATGAGAAAAGCCCAAGCTCATATCCCAATGCAGGGGTGACCCGTCGGTTCAAGAACCCGCAGTGATGGGAGCTGCGAAGACATGAGATGGCTGCCACTTGAGTCCAGAAAAGTCCATATAAATCCGTGGCATCGGATTCAGCCGATCGATTTGATCAGAGAGATTTTTAGGAATCTTGACGTCCACCCGTGATATGTCGGATCATACCGCAGGGGACTTTGCATCAAGGAAAAGAAGCGCCCGTTGGTTGCCCTAAGGGGAGGGCTAGGATCTCCACAATATGTATATATATATATATACACAGTATCTATATCTTGATCTCTACATGTCTGTCTGTATTGCATCCTGTCTTCCAGCCCTTGAACGACTTGCCATGGACACCATGATCTTCATTGGTGATTTCAGAACCGAGACCGTGCTCAGCAGTTGTCAGCACAGGACAGGGGTCCGGTCCGCTCTGTAGCTATGTATATAATCTAAAACGAAACAATGCCTTACTAGTTGGGTTCTGATCTCTTCTGGTTTTTAACCTCGAAGGGTGTGCCACTATTTCATACTGTTTAGTACAGTGAGTGTACAAGCTAGCCAAGTAACAGTTGAAATAACATTGATAATCCGGAAAAATTGACCAAAGCATGGCAAAGCGTTTTAAGCATCGCCTCTTCTCGACGCCGTCCAAAACAGGCTCCAAGACCTTTGAGGGTGAGAAGGCTTCAATAGGCTGGTGTGATTCTTCCAACGTGCATGCAACAAGCTCCAAGCAAAGCAACCATGGAAGCAATGGCAAGGCCTCCACGCTGGCTATGCATGGCTGTACTGTTGAAAACACAAAGCAAAGCAGCTGCTGTTGGAAAGCTGTTCTGTGCTCTGTATGGTGATCTGCCTGCCGCAGCATGTCGGGGCATCTCTGTAAGAGTCCTAGTCTGCAGAAAGGGATCATATATCATTCATAGACATATATTAGAATCCTGCTTCATCTGATGCATGATGCTACATGGGACAAAAATGGATCAACACACGTGGTACACATTACAAATCCTCCGATATTATTTCCGGAGAAATCAATGCCATATGATTTCGTAGCAAACATCCTCGCTTTCAGCCCTAGCCCTGATCTCCTTTCAGCAGCCTCCGGCCATTTCTCCTAGGCTTCTTCTGCAGTTCCTCTTCGAACAAGTGAGGCACATAGGGACATTGTTGCAGTGAATCTACTTGCAATTGCACCACCCGAGCTGTCCTCCTCCAGCACCACCACTGGCAGCAGGTCCATCCTTGCTAAGTTGGTGAGCACGTTTTCATTGTTTGTCCCTCCCCATGTGTATGTTTATCCCAATTTATCCCGCATGGTACCCCGGCTGGCGAATCCTGGATTACAGCATTGCTGCTAAGGCAGGAGCTAAAGCGTAGCTTGCAACTTCGAGCGGGTCATGGCTGATGCAAACTCGCGAATGACACCATTGTTTGGTTTGAAGTGACCGAGCTCGTATCCTCACCATGCAAGTCTACTAAAAACAAATGGCTGCCTGCGACGTCAGTGCAATGCACTTGCGTAGACGTAGCAAGCCAATGCACTGACCTTCTTCCCCCTTGATTCATTTTGCAGGTTTCTGGCTAGTCTTAGAAGGGGTTAGTCAAGAGGGCTTGCAGAATGAATGCCCACGGGCTTTGGATCAACTCGGACAAACAAGCTTTGTCACCAATCTCACTGTGTTCAATTGCTCAAGCAGTAGAAGCTAAAAAGTTGTTCACTCTTTCCTCACACCACGCTATGGGCTAGAGTCGTGGTCCAGCAATTGGCGCGCCAGCTTTTGTTCTGACCTTGCGAAGCATCTCGGCATCTTGAAATAAGCGAGATTCATGCTAGAAACAATGTTCGCTACTAGGGGCTCCTGGCATCGCTACTAGGCTACTAGGAGCAAGGACGCTTCTAGGGGCTCCTGGCCTTACGTACTACTAGGAGCAAGGACGCTACTAGGAACAAAGACGACAAGCACTTTCTAGGCCCTGGGCACAGTATGCAGGTGATGAATCAACGGCACCTTCCTGGAAGCTGCGACGAAATGCCCATTGATAACAATTCACTTTGTATCACAAACATGTTTAATTGATTCGACACCTGCCCTGCCAGAAACGATCGCAGTTGTCGCGGACAGCCACCAATTTGTGCCTTTGACCTGAGAAGAAGTAGTGGATGCCCTGCCTCTGAAGACTGCACTATGCTGTCAAGCTATTCTTCACACAATGCAGCAGGGTTGCAGTACTCCCTGGCTTGCCTCGCGTCCTAACAAAATGGAACTGATCGACTCCTTGAAGATCAGTCTGGGTTTGCTTAAAAGGGTGTGAGGGGTCAAGTGAGTATCAAAGCTGTCACATGCTGACCAGACTGCCTGGAAATGGCTCATCTGTGCGAGCTCCTGCATCAAGGCAGACCGAGCAACAACAACTGGGTCCATGACAAGCATGCCACTTACTGTACGTCAAAATAAGAAGCTGATCTCGTGCTACACTACCATGCATATATATATATATATCACCTTGGGAAAAGAAATATAAACATCCATTCAAAACAAACATACTGATTGTTTGTCCGGCACCTTAATGGCCTGGAGGGCACCATCCTCCTTTTCTCCATCAATGGGATTTAAATGTAGCTCCCAGCAACCCAGTGGGAAGTCCTGCACAAACTCATGGTACCACCATCACTTGACTTGGCAATGACATAATGAGAAGTGGTACTGATGCTAGGCTTGCTCATCTTCTTACAGTCATGATTCCGTTCTGAAGCAGCTTTCACTTCTGCTTACCCCTCACTTCCCATCCTGCTGGTTGCCATTCTTTGATCCAGCCCCACATCCAGCGCTGCCGGGAGCACCCACAGTTACGTTAAAGAACTTTGGCAGGATCACCTTTGCCTCAGTGCATGCTATAATTATCTATAATTACTCGGCCAGTGTGCTTTGGACTCTGGACGCAATCTTAAGGCTGCCACTAAGACTGGATAGACCACATCTTGGGAACAGCTTTGAGGCCACTCTGCCTCATTCTCCATGAACCTGGGCAAAGAGTTGCAATTGCAAGCTTGGTACATCTTGGTACCACTCAAGCCTAGCCGAAACATCAGTCAGCAGAACAGCAGAAAGCTTGGACTCCAAACATTACAAGTCGCACATACTTGTGGGCACTCAGCTTTGGGTCTCATGTCTAATCGCCTTTGTTTGTCTTTGTCCATATTCAGGGTCTTCTGGACTGTGCTGGCAAATGTGTTTCGAGATGTTCAAGGCATTTTGTGTCTTGAGGGCCGCACATGGGGCAGCCTGCTGCCACAGCTTGCTCGCCTGGCCCACTTGGCAAAGCAATTCGACCTGCATTCGAAAGCCAGAAGTAGTTCGCTTCTGCCATGTTCACAATGTTTTGTTTGAATTTCTGTCTCAACCAACTCTTCTCTCTCAGTGCCCTGTTTGGCGCCAAGCTTGTTCGCCACTGGTTTCCGCTCGGGCTCCCACCCAGCACATTCCATTGGCTTTTCACAGCCAGAAGCATCTTTCTATTGAAGACCTGGCATTCGCGATCTGCTCGCGGTTAAAGGACTTTGTCTGCACTCTCTGCAAGAGTTTGATTGGACAAGATTCTAGTCTTTAAACATTGAGGAAGTGCAAAGGCGTTGCCCCACATCAGCATGATGGGGCCATCTACACTGGCCTCCCGGAAATCCAAAACGTGGAAAAGCTCCACCTACTTCGTCTCGCCGGTGTTTCAAGAAATATTTACTATACAGTTCAATATTTATGGTTTCCTTTGAGTGCTGAACAACTCTGGTGTCCGCAGGTATTGGATGTGCTTGTTGAAGTTCTTCAACCAAGTTGAAGTGCAAAACTACTTTATGCCCACTTGGTGTTGTTTGCCACACAATGGCCACACCTGCTCTTCAGGTGTTCCTTCTCGCAAACCCTTGAGGTAAGCAAGGATAGTTTCCTTTGCTCTGGCCTCAAAGATTTGGCGCATAATGAGAAGCTGTCACAAAACAAAAGACAAAGCAAACATCACTTGCACCACATCGGCTAACTTTCCAAAAGACAAGAACTGGAATTCTGGCGGGGCTGAGGAAGTGATCCAGCTCGCTGTTGATGAACCAGTCATGCTGGTGCACAAAGTCCGAATCTGCAAAAAGTGCCGCGGAAAACAGCAAAATATGGTAAATCTAAGGTTGTATAGGCTGTATAGGGCTGTCAAAATCGCTCCAAAGTTTTGCACCGTATTGCTTTTTAGTCGGCCAGGCCACGCAGGAGATGATTCCAGGATGGCATCAGCCCAACCATGTTCCTGACAGCACAGCAGGGCCAGAATCAGAGTGTTCAGGGGGGAGAGTAGCTGAGTACCAGGTATTGTCTACCACCTGTGACCAGATCATTTGTGAACACAAAAGAAAGCACACTCCTGTGGTAAAGCCAGCCGTCATCTTTGCGTGTCACACTCTGTTTTGGAACAATGACCCGCATGAAGTCTGCCTCCTGTGCAGCCAGTGCCATACCTTTCGATCAAGGAACACTTGACTCATGCCTTCCGAGACTGGCTTGCATGTCAGTTGACCCTCTGTCCTTTTGTGGCCCTGGGGCAGCATGATCTGTGTAGAAGATGTGCCCGTCACACTTGCGGTACCTGGCTGTGCGCTCAAGCTGGTTGTATAGTGGACATGCTGTAGGTAAACCAGCTAAAGCCCTGCTGTACGAAAAGCATGTATTCACTACACACAAAGAAAAAAATAAATCATGCTTCAATTGGCGTCGTTCTTGAAGCCTTGAGTAGCACTTGATGGGTTTAGTCACGTTAAGTCCATTTGTTACGGCGATGGTGCTTAAGCAACCTTGTTTACATCCTCCCCAAACTGCTCAACACCCTTTGCAGGCACTCAACAGCATCCAAGTTGCTGCTTTCGAGTCTCACCCAAGAGTTGCTCGTCATAGTCCCGTCGTGGTGTCCAAGCGAAGCAGAATAGTGAGAGATGCTCCTCAAGTTCAAGAGCTGCTTCACACTAGAACTTCAAGGAACATACCCGCTGAACAGGTGCCACACAAGACTCTCCAGACAGCGAGAAAACGAGATGCACAAACGGAGCCTTCTCTTCCCTTGCTGTCTTGGCCCTTGCATCCTACAGAAAGAATACAAGGCTGCTGGGCTTTCAACTTGAATACATGAAGCACCTCCATAGAGCGGCTGAAAACCTTCGAAAGGCCCTGGACCTGCTAAAGAAATCGCACAAAACCACAACGACACCACAAATCACAAAGCAAAAAATAATGACACAATAATGTGTATCGAATTGCATCAAGGCATTCTTCTCGAGTGTTTTGCTGCGACTTGCGTCTTCTTGCTTTAGCGTGCCGCATGAACCATTTCGGCTACTGGTGGCATTGCTGACACTGTACATGCCTAAAACTACTGTTGCGAATCAATAGAAGCACTTTGAAGCACTTTGAAGCATCCAAGTCAGGCAGAGAGGACTCATCTTGGCCCACAAGCTGGGTGAGGATTGTGACATCTCGCACATCACTCACCAAGACATCGAGACCAACAGGCTCGCAGGGCTCCAAGCGCAGTTCTCTGTCCAAAGGGGATGTAGGAGAGCCTGAGGCATTGTTTCATTTTTGTCGAAGATTTTGTCGATTAGGTTCTCCCAAGGTTGCACGTGTTTGCAGAATGATGTTTTGCAAATATCCTGCCCCAAAGCTTGACTGGTCCTTGCAAAAATTGCAGCCAGGTCGCGTGTACCAAATCTCAGTTCAGGGGAAACACATTCGTGCATTTCACATCTCTTTGTTTGCGACCACATTATTGATACCGATATCCAACACTGGACACTGATGTGGAGAAGTATTTTGCACGTTCCATACTTGGCAGGTCAAATTTCTGAACACCCCTCGTCGGTTTCAAACTCTTCTCGAATGCAAAGGTGCTAAGGCAGCCCACTGCACAAGCACCAGCAGCAGAAGAATCAATGTACGGCCATGCCATTTTCCAGGCGAAAGAGCTACCTGATGTGCTTCAAGTCTTGCCGTCTGGCCATTCAAGATTCATTGGCAAAGGAACAACAAAACAAGGGAAATCAACAAGCTGCAAGAAGAGTCAGGACCATTGAGACCACAAAGCAAAGTGATGCAATCCAACGCTTTTCACGCCCCATACGGCGCAATTGCCTGATCATAGAAGTACAGCAGCCACTGCATGATCACTACATGTCACTGAGTTGCATGCTGTAAGTGTTCCACGCGCCTTCTCGGCCCAGCAAGGAAAAGGGTGCCAACCAATGCAAGCAAATTCCCTAGGGTGTAGAGCTCTGCAAAGCCTTGAGCAAATTACAAAAAGCAAAAAAATGAACAAAGTGAGTATGGCATTGTAATTAGAAAAGCCAAACACATGCTCTTTTCCTGAGTTGATATTCTTGGTCACTCTGAAGATCGATTCTAGAAACCAAGTCCACCGCCAAGCTTCGCTCTGCGGCCGGCTCTCCACCAATCAAAGCGTGAATGCCACGCCCAAACCCGCTGAATTCCAGAAGAACACCCAGCCCAAAGCCTTGAAGAGAGAATGATGAGAGACTGTTTGGAGAGTCGATTGGATTCAACTAAAAAGACGCAAAAAAAAAAACACACACCAACTAGCCAGCCATACCAATTTAGTCGTTTGATGTTACTTGCTTCCTTTGAGCTGAAGAAGACATGGGCAGAAACACAGAAAAACTGCTGGCCAAACCACATACAAGCCAGCCAATGATGCGTTGCTTCAGAGTCCTTGGTCGGTTGGAACCAAATAAGACAATCACAGCACGGTGCTCTTCATCTCCAAGGCACAAAGAAGGGCACATAACATCTGAATTGTGCATCCATGCCTGCGCTGGCCGTCTATCAAATCAGCTTGTGCACGGACTTCATGGACTGAAAGTGCTAGCATTTTTGAGATCAGCCCCAAACCACAGCCTCCTCTGCTTCGCTTGTGGCATTGCCTGCAAGAACGTTAGTAAGTTGGACCTCCTTGGACCAATTACTCTGCTGGAATTCAAAACTCTAGGAGAACAGAAATGGAATCAAAGAAATCTATATAATAGGAATGGCCTCCAACCTAGAAGCGATGGCCTCCAACCTAATCGCAAAAGGAACCGAACCTCCAATGCCAAGGGAGCGCAAACTGAAGCTACTCGCGCTCCGCTCACTCTGCTCCTGCGTTGCACCTCAGCACAGCAGAACAAATTGTCCAGCTCTTGAAGCCCAGTTCAAGACCTGTCTCGAAAAGGTCCAAAAAAAACACGGCAGGGAGCTCTTCTTGCAAACTTACGGCGGAACATTGTAGCAAATACGTGACCGCCTCTAAAAGGGTTTGAGTCTTGTGATTTTGGCAAGGAGCTTGTGGCAGGCCACCACTGTCTAGAGTGTGACTCTTCCTGTGAGAGTTTGATAGGGTGTAGACAGGAAGATGAACATCACACAATAATTTGGAACAAGAGACAGCAAAATGTATTCCATATGTATCTCTCTCTGACAGCATATACATATATACACACCACGTTCACATATGTCCATACATGGTGTAAATGTATATGTTACATAATTTACTTGTATATATATATATACACATATGCGCATACACAATATAGGTGGTACCACCGCCCTCTGGCGTCTGTACTTTTGGAAATGGACACACTTACTTAGAGAGGAAGGTACCACACATGTATGCATATCAACACATCCATCTGCCAAAAGATGTATAAATATATATGCTACCCCCTCACCCTGTACCTACTTTTAGCCCTTGTTGGCAATGTGGAGTCCAGAAGATGGGTGCATTGCTTGATTCTGTAAGGTTGTGCTCTTTTTGCAAATGATATGACAATGATAGGGTTGTGAAACTTGTGATTGTTTTGCTCTATGTGCAGTTGGTAAGCATATTTGTTCATTTAACTATGTACTACAAAAATGTCCAAATCCATAAGGTTAGGTGTTCACTAAAAAGTTCTTGGATGTAGTAATCTAATTCCATGCAACCCCCATGCAAAACCATATGTGTTGCTTTTGGAGTGTGAATTGTATTGCTCTTATTGAATGCAGTTGAGCAAGTACATCATAATCAGAAGGCAAAGACTTGCAAACCCTAAATAACTAAATTCAAGTTTAATTCTAATTCAATTTAAATTCCAATCTATTCAACTCTACTTTACTTTGTATAGTTAAATTCAAATTTAAGTCTATTTCAATTATTTGTAAATTCTACGTTGATTCAAATGTCTATCACTATAGATTATAATTTACGTGGGATTCAACGCAAGCCTAATTTTAATTTGATTTCAAGCTAATTCTAACTTCATTGCTATACAAGTCAGATTCAATTCTAATAGTGTATTCTTTTTCAATTTAGTTTTAATTTGAGTGAAATTCTTTTTTACTTCTAGAGAAGTGGTGTTACTTTGAACATGAAAGATGTTATGTAGTCTTTCCAATATAGAAGCATGTGCTTTCTTAAATGAATTAAATTCACCCCCAGCAACACCCACTCTCTAGAATGACATCAAAACTGAATTAGAATTCTATGTGCATTGAACTAGAATCAAAATAGGATCAAATTAGACATATAGAAGCCAAAAATAATTTGCAATGACGAGCGAGAAAGACCGTCGCCTTCGTGAACTTCCAGACTGGATCAGGATTCCCATGGGAATGGGTGGCAGGGGGCTAGAACGATTCAAGGAAGGCAAGCAGGTTCCGGAGTGTGTGGCAAAAAACTTCGTGGCCATGGTGGAAAGAGTCACTTGTGGTGGAGCTGAGTCTCCTTTGACGGGTGGGAACTTGGACGTCAAGAACTTGAACAAAGAAGCAGAACGCCTTCTGAAGCTATATTGGGATGCCAAGAAAGAAATCGACCCAGATGCAGAAGTTCCCAAACTTGTAGTGTCAGAAAGGTGGATCCAGCGCCTTTGTCAGAAGAATGGCTGGACCAGAAGAGCTCCGAACACATTTGAGGCATATTTGCCATACGAGGACCAACGTATGGAAAAAAACCGGAAGGCTTTTGCTTACACCCGTCTTAGCCAAGATGTGAGATTGGACCTTTGCCTGAATTTTGACCAAGTGTGGAAGCAGTCTTGGAGTGACCCGAAACGGCTTCTTCTCAAGGTAGCCTCATCAGAAGGGTTGAAAGGAAAAAAGGCACAGGCTGTACAAGAGATCATGGATCTTCAAGAGCGGCTTCGGGGTGGTGGAGAAGGTGATTGGAAGGTGGTGAGAAGAAGAGTCACTGGAAAGGATGCGCGGGCAAACCTGGTGAGGAATTCCCACCACTCGATCACAATCATCACTAGCCTGTGGGGCAATGGGGAGTGTGGGCCATTGACCTGTGTCCTTCCACTGGGCTTCATCTCTGACAATGCCCTGGCCGACCTGAAGAACTGCTTCAGTCCAGAGTGCTATTTTTTGAGTTCTGGACGGTCATCCCACTTTATGAACGCCGAGTCTGTGGTGTTGTACTATGAGAATGTCCTTGCTGAGGCCTTCAACCGGAGACGCACGCTGCTAGCAGAACGCTACGGGAGGTCATTTGAGGCAGAATGGGGGCTAATCCTTTGTGATTCCTTCACTGGCCATCATTCGGGTGGAGCTTCTGATGTTCAGAGATGCTTGGCTGTTTTATGTATAACCTATTCAATTCTGCTTTCCCTAAAGAACTCTTTTTGTCTTGTTGAGAGCCTGGCTGGCTGATCAGCGTCAAGGAGAGGCATTTTCCACTTCGAACCGGGTATTGTTGCCGGACAGGCAGCCTGGCGGCTTGTCAGCCCGAGGACAACCGGCAAATGCAATTCATGCCCTGCTGAGGAAGTACATGGCGTTCTACAACGAGTCCTCGCTAGGCTATCGCTCGGGACTTCTGGAACAAGCATCTTCAACCCCACTGCTGCTTTCTAGTGGAAACCCGTACCACCACCTTTCCCACGAGGATTGCATTATATATCTCAGCCATTTACGGGTGGAAGAGGTTGGCCAAATGCAGATCGGTTTTGAGGCCAGGTTTGAAAGAGTTCCAAAGTTATTTATATATACGTATCCTTGCAAACCGTAGGGCTTTTGCTGTTCCTTTGGTGGCCATGTAAGGGGTGCAGTAAGCAGAGTGTAATTCTGCTTACTGCAGTGTTGTGCAACCCCACCGGCAGTTTTCATGAGCCAAATGAACAAACAGTACTGCAGTAAGCAGGAGTGAAATCTGCTTGCTGCATATGTCAGGTGGGCATGGTTGAGCAGAGGCATGTGCACAAAAGAAGAGATGGTTACCTTCAACGGAGACATTGAAATCACCCCAGAGAACCTCACCAAGCAAAGGCTCCTATGGAGGAAGTTTGGACCCAGCCAGACATTTCCAGCACCTCATTTCTATGGCAAATGAAATCAGATGGACAGGATGAAACGGCTGAACAGTGGGAGAAAGAAGAAGAGATCTGGCAATGCCTACCTGCTCACTGGCAGGCTATCCTCAACAACAGGGTTTCATGCAGGCATCCAAGACGCTGAAGTCTTGTATCAGCATAGGTTAGCAGAGTATGGAGAAGCAGATATAAAGACAAAGAATGCGGCTGCGAAGGTTGAGAAAGTGAAGACTGGGCAATTTTCAGAAAGTGCAGTTTTGATATACAAGAAGGCTGGCAAGGAAGTTTCCCCAGATGTGTACAACAAGTCGGTATCAAAGACTCAGCAAGGCATCAAAGTGAACGTGAGCAAGCATGTGGAGGTGTTCATGCTCTCTGTCCAGGACATGACTTTGAAGAGACTTCCTCAGACTGAAGGTGAGGAGGCTGATGTGAAGCAGCTGAGGATTGTCTCTGTCACTGCACGGTCCAGGCAGATTCAGGAACTGCGCCTTCATTTGGACGCACTATCCCTCGCTTCCTCACACGTTCTTGATGGCATCAAGTCGGAGAAGAAGGCCAAGAAGCAAAAGACAGAAGCCAAACAGGCCGGTGGTGTGGGGTATATATTAATACTGTAGATGGACAAATTGCAACTGTTTTAAGTTCTACCCTTATAAATGAATATATATATATATACAGATATAATTTATTTGCAAATATGCAGCAAATGTGCTGCAAATGCAATAAGTAGAAACAAATCTGCTTACTGCAGTCTTGGCTGGGCGGGTAGCGTGGAAAAGTTTGGAAGACAACATGTAAGATTTGAGCCAAACTGCAGTAAACGGAACTATATTTTTCTGCTTACTGCAGGGTGCATTCTGGCCGCCTGGCCAGGAGACGGAAGACCCCGAGCTGGAAGCCCAGCTTGCTATGATTTCTGAGTGCAATGCGGTCGACAAGGGAGCAGAAGAGGACTTGGAGCTAAACATGAAGCCGGAGCAGGAGCAAAACCAGGACCACAATGAGGCAAACCCTGACAAGGAGGATGAGGTTATGGAATTGGAGCATGCAAATCAAGGTGAGAGTGAAGATGAAGAGATTGAGTATGACTTTTCCACGGGGGTGAACTTTGTTTGCGGTGGCCCCTCTGCTGTTTCATCGTCCGATCCGTCACCTCCAATTGCCGTGGCCCCTCCCTCTGCATCGTTCAAGGACATGCCTGCCTTCGTCTTTCTGGAGAAGCTGAATCTGACAGAATTGCCCCACGTGAATGGTGCGGGCATCGGGGTTCATGTGACAATCCAGGCATGGCAGGTCAGATATCCACCAAGTGGCTCCCAGAAAGCTTCTTGTGCGCGCTCGTGGGGCAACCTTTCCAAAAAGGGATTTGTCTCGCAGTGCAAGGCACTTCTTGAATGCTTGTTGTGGGCTTGGGAGAGGCACTTGGCAGAGAACCCTTCCTGCAGTGTCTCCCAGACCAAGGTGGGTATGCTCAAGGGAGCATTGATTGCAGACCTTGGGCGTCACCTTGAGAAGTGAAATTCATGAATTTATAGATGCACGATCTTCTTGTGGGGTGCCGGTGGCTTTTTGTACAAACAATGGGTCCCTTGCATATGGAGCTCTACCTGTGGTTTTTGCTGCAGATCTGCTAGATGTGTATGAATATATAGCGAGAGAGAGAGAGAGAGAGAATAGAGAGCGAGAGAGAGAGAGAAACAAATAAATGTTCCATATTTTGTGGATGAATGGCACCCCCTTCTGCAGTTGTTTGCAGCTCTTTGGAGGACTTCGAGACGATGGGTGGGGGAAAAAGACAGCCTGTGGAGAACGACCTGCAGTAAGCAGACATGGTTTCTGCTTACTGCAGTGCTGCATTTCTTTTAATTATGCCGGCATAGACCCCAGATAGCACTTCAAGAAAAGTTGGACACCATGGCAAGAGTGGGAGACAAGCTTGGCAGACATCCCACTCAAAGCCGGGAAAAGGATGGAAAAGGTAAACAAGACCTAAATCATCTTATAACAGCACCCGCGTCAAAGGCAGGCAA